ATTTTTTAGATGTAGATGGACACAACACAATGCCTTTACTTTTATGTGGTGCTGAGAATCGAACCCAGGTCCCACCCGTGCTAGTCAGGCGCTCTACCGCTGAGCCACAATTCCAGCCCCAAGAGTCTGGCTTTTATTATTGGACCATTTCTATTATGTATTCTCCACATATTTTTTAAAGTATGTTTTTAGTTGTAGATAGATACAATACCTTTATTTTATTTATTTATTTTTATGTGGTGCTGAGGACAAACCCAGTGCCTCACACATGCTAGGCAAATGCTCTACCACTGAGCTACAACCCTAGCCCTCCACATAAACTTTTACATGTCACTTAAACACTCTTCACTTTTCTCATTTGCAAAATGGGGAAAATAAAAGTAGCTAGCTCAGGGCTGAGGATGTGGCTCAAGCGGTAGCGCGCTCGCCTGGCATGCGTGCAGCTCGGGTTCGATCCTCAGTACCACATACAAACAAAGATGTTGTGTCTGCCGAAAACTAAAAAATAAATATTAAAATTCTCTCTCTCTCCCCCTCTCACTCAGTCTTTAAAAAAAAAAAAAAGAATTTCATTCGTCTCTTTAAAAAAAAAGTAGCTAGCTCATATGATTGTTGCAAAGATTAAACAATATGTAATATGTAATATGTAATATTGAGTGCTTAGCACAGTGTTGGGCTTGGTTATTGTCATCATTCATATTTAATTTCCACCCCAAATACAATTGGAGCCCTAGGTTTGGTAGAGAATGAGGGGTCTTATGTACATAAAAGCTTTTGTACCATGAGAAACCACCAGCAAGAGCAGGGACAGTGATACATGGTATTGTTTGTGTTGAAATGTCTACTGTGCTTTGGGAGAGCATCTTGAATGTAAAGACAAGGGCCAGGGCAGTGGTGTGGAGCTAGGAATTTTCTGAGTAGGTTGTTAACTATAGCCATTTTTAAATACTAAATCATACTAAAATTAAACATTTTAAAGGTTTCTAATTTCCTAATTAACTTACTACATTTTGCTGTTATCTAAGTTTCTGAGAAGTTTTTAAAAATCTACTGTATCTGGAGAGTGGAAACACTATATAATGATGAGCTACTGAGCATCTCTTCCCAACACTGTTCCCAGTGACAGTAGCTTGAAATGAGCCAGGGTCGGGTATTTGCCCCATGGAAATAAGCAGATGCTGCAAATCAGTGCTTTCCCCACTTCTGGAGAGCTGGTTGTGGAATCTCTGTGGCTATAGTACCAAGCCAGAGAGACTCCTTAGAATAGCCAGTAGAGCGAAGATGAGTACTGAATCTAAGGACTTAGAATGGAGAGAAGACAGACTTGACAGTCACATTAGTGTTAGGATCTGTGTGCACAGTGACTAACTGAATGTGGGCGAAATAAAGATTGAAGTCTGAAACAAAGGTTTGACTTGCGGAGCTGTCCTTGCTGCCTTTGATGAAGCAAAAGGCAATATTGTGAGCTGCCCTGGGGAAAGGCCCTCATGACTTGGAACTGAAGTTTACTTCTGGCTGACAGCCAGCAAAGAGTGGCGGCCTTTAGTCCAACAGCCCGCAGGGTGCTATATCCGGCCAACAAACATATATGAGATTGGAAGCAGATCTTTCCTCACTGAGCCTTCGTATCAGATTCCAGCTCTGGTGGACACCTTGATTACAGCCCCTTAAGAGACCTTGAAGTAGAGATCCAAATAAGCTGATCCCAATTCCAGATCCACCCAAACCATGAGATAATAAAGATGTGTTGTTTTAAGCTGAAATTAAAAATTAAAAAAAAATCACTCTGCCAATATTGATTATGAGGGGTAAGGATGTCTAACTCTTTATATGATTTTCCTTTTTCCTTGTCGTGGGGCAGAGAGAATAAAAAAACAAACATTATTAAATTGGGTGAAATCATCATCTTGTCCTTTTAGATTGTGACTTCCTCTCTAATAATGACTGTTCATTATCCCCTTTGCCAGGTATATAAATACTGGTTCATTGCTATGTATGGATTCTTCCTCACCTATCTTGTTGGAAGTTCACTGGCAACTCTCTGAACTTGGAATATGTAGTAATTATTATTTTCTATGCTTAGTTCAAGCCTTACATGGATATGGATATATTTTGTCTGTTTTTCATTACTGTAAGAAAACAACTAAAGATGGATAACTTTATAAAGAAAAGAGGTTTATTTAGCTCACAGTTTTAGAGACCGAAAGTCTAAGGTCAGGAAGCCCCATCTGCTCAGCCTCTGGTGGATAACATCATGACAAGAGCATTCGTGAGCAAGAGATCACATCCCAAAATAGGAAGCCAGAGAGGGATTCAGGAGTCAGGCAGTTTTTATAACAACATGCTCTCTTTAGAACCAACCAAAGGGGCTCTTAAGAATTATCTTAATCCCTTCCAAGGACAGTGCCCCTAGTGACCTAAGGATCTCCCTCTAGGCCATAGTTCTTAAAGGTCCCACCTTACCACTTCCCACATCACCACATCAAGCCTCTAACATGTGAATGTTGGGGAGCAAACCAGATCCAAATCATAGCAACAGAATTAGGACTCCTTCATTATGCTATGAAATTTACTTTAAAGTTACTGTTTCATAGTTCAGTAGGAAAATAATTAGTCTTCTAAAAGACAGTATTAAGTCAAATAGATATTATTGACCACCTTTCAGTGCAGATTTCTTACTTATAATATTTGTATCCTAAAGCAATACAATCTTTAGGAGCCTTCATCCACCATGTCCATATCCTAGAACCACTCTAGATGTACTATTTAAATGTAAATTACTTTAAATATATATTACTGATATAACCAGCAAGTGATGGAATGTCAGTCCAGGTCCTCAGTGCTGATATAACCAGCAATATATACTTATACCTATAATTCCAGCAACTCAGGAGACTGAGTCAGGGGATCACTTGTTTGAGACCAGTCTCAGCAACTTTGTGAGACCCCATCTGTTGTGATGGGCAAAAGGTATGACTTATGCAGTCAAGGGGGAGACATAAAGAATGTCCATGTGCTTCTGCCCTTTTCAGTGCTTTATTCACTCAAATCACTCAATACAATTTCACTCTATAGGTTCTCTTTTTTTAAATATTCATTATTTTGTGTAGTTGGACACAATACTTTTATTTATTTTTCTGTGGAGCTGAGGATCGAACCCAGGGCCTCGCACATGGTAGGCAAGCACTCTACCGCTGAGCCACAACACCAGCCCACTCTATAGGTTCTTAATCAAGAAAAACAATAATCCTTAATGTGAGGCACTGCATTGGACATAATCAATTCACAGCAAACAATTCTAGATTAATTCTAAGCACTACAAACACACTTAATCATGACAGGCTCATGACAGACATTCCCTCTGCATGTTTAGTTCAAGTGTCAGATCGAAAGAAGCCTTAGGCTTTAAGTCAAGCAGATGCACACTCACTCTGACCTCGGTGATCAGGTCAGGAACCAAGGCAGGCTTGTCCCATGGTGGACCTGAAGGCCGGTTGAAGAGAGGGTCATAGGGAGAAGTTGCAGCTCTCACCAGGGTCAAGATGTGGCTATAGAGTTTGAGAGTGGTGAGAACCACACAGAGGATCAGGCAAAGGATGACAAGTGATTGGATGTCAGTCCAGGTCCTCATCAGGCTCTCCAGCTTACGTGCATCAGTAAGGCTGAATATCTGTTCATTTGCTCTATTACTTACACTCAATTTGGGGGCTTTTAACCCCCCCCCCTTCAATCCTTATCAGCTACCACTGGATTTGTCAGTGACATTATTTACCCTGGGGTTAAAACATCTGGTCTGGTGGTCCCCACCCTGATCTTTTCACCTTTCCCCCTTATCCTGTGAAGACAGCCTGTCAGAGGCTTTACTCTGAGTTTATGGAGGTGTGGGGGAGTGACTTGTTTGTGCCTGAGGGCCATACTGGAGGGCTCCTTAGGTGTGCCTGGTGAGACTTACAGGTTTCAAACTGGAGTTTTTTAAAATGTAGTTGCTTAGGCTCAGGCCTAAGGCCATCCTCACACTATCTCAGAACAAAAAAGGGCTAGAGATGTAATCTAGTGGTAAAGGCCCCCTGGGTTCAATCTACAGTACTACAAATATACATTATATATTTTATACACACACACACACACACACACACACACACACACACACACACACAAAAGTAAAATTGAAAATTCAGTTCCTCAGTCACAGTAGCCACAAAGTGTTTAATTATCCATGTGTAGCTGATGACTACTGTATTGGGTAACAGGACATTTTGATCAATGAAAAAAGTACTTCTCTAAAGGATGGAGGTGAGAAATTTTCTTTACCATATGAAAGTCAGATAGTTATATACACCAACTATTTACTCTATTTAACATTTGTTCTTGTCCATGTGAAGACATTTTTAGAAGTGAAAAATGTTGCCACATTGCTATACAAGATACTGCTTTCAAATTCATCCAATGTTCAGCTTTTCATGTGAAAGTGTTAAACAACTACAGTGTAAACATAATTAGCAGCAGGATAAAGATTTCAAACATTTCCACCCACCAAAAACAAACTCTCTAGTTTATCCTTCCTATTCCTTCCCTTCTCTGCCCTCTTTTCTTAAGTGAGGGTGGGTACAACTTCAGTCCTACGATGAGGTAAGACTTGGAGAAGTAGAAAGGCAAATGTTTGTGTATATGTTTCGGTAGGTATATGTAGGTTTTTGGGGAAAATGATTTAACTTTTAGAATAATCATTTTTTATATGAGTAATCTGAGGTTAGAGGAAGTGATTGCCCCAGATCAGAATAGTATTAGATCCAGGACTAAAACATGTGTCCATGACCCACAAATCAATGGGCATTCTACTAAATCATTTGTCTTTCCCATTTTTATTCTTTATTCACTATTATTGCTATAGATGCAATGGCAAAAATGTAGAGGTAAGAATAATTAACTATTATCAGTTTATTTAAAGAAATGTTACTTTTTATGTGTCTTAAAGGATTTGGTAATTGTAATTTTTACAGATTGAAGAAGAAGAGAGGAAGAAGATAGAAGATATGAAAGAAAATGAACGAAAAAAAGCAACTAAAGAATTGGAAGCCTGGAAAGAGTGTCAAAGAAAAGCTGAAGAACGAAAAAGAATTCAGAAAGAAGAGAAATTATGTCAACAAGAAAAGCAAATTGACGAAGAAAGAAAAAAATTAAGACATAAAAATCTCATTAAAAATTCAACATCTAAAAATCTTGCCACAAAAGGTACATGATTAATATTTTTTGGAAAAGTGAGTACTGTTGGTAAAGTATATATGACACTATTTTATTATGATAATTATTATTATTTTGGTTAACCTGTTCACAGTATTAGGTCATTRTTTTGTATATTGAGAATAAGCACTATAATATGAAGATTAAAATGAAATGTTAATATATAAGAAATATATTTCTTTTTATAAGGAGTAGTGAGCTTTTCTAATAAAATGACTAAGGATTCTGTGTCTTCTTTGCTTATGTGCCTTAAAAAAAAAAGATACAGATGCTGTTGAAAATATTCTTAATTTAGGTCTCAAAAGAATTGGACTGGCCAAGCATCGTAAGGAGTATTCATTTATTCCTTTAAATATGAGGAACTAGGAATTTCATTAAAAGACTCTTTCCTAACATGACTGAGGAAAGTGAGTACTATAAGCAAACTTAGTCTTCAGCATATAATAAGGGGTGCTTCTGGCCTTTGATCCTGATGCATTCAAAGATAGGTAAAAGATTATAATTGTTTATTGAAAGCTAAATTTGACTTTATCTGATTTTAGAATATTGAACTTTATTGTAGATTTATAGAAGTCTCCCTTTATCCTTGAGGGATATGTTCCAGGATCCCCAGTGGATTCCTGAAATTGAGGATAGTAATGAGTCCTATATGAACCCTATAAATACTATGCTTTACATACCTGTGATAAATTTTAAAGTTTTAAATTGTTCACTGTTCTGAGTAGTGTGATAACATCTTGTGCCATCCTGCTCTGTCCTTCCCAGAATGTGAATCATCCTTTTGTCTTCTGTATCACTATAGTATGTACCTATTAGTCACTTAATAATCATTTTGGTCACAGAATCCTGTGAGAATGTTTATGTTAACAAATTAGGCAACTGAAATGAAATGTACTAATTTATTGAAAAATAAAGTGTACCCTAATTGGCACAGAAAAAAGAGCAAATTTGAAAAGACACAGTAACTGAACTGGCTGTTATAAATCTTTCCACAGGGGCATTGTAGTTTAGTGGTATAACATTTGCCTAGCCTGTTTGAAGACCTGAGTTTGATTCTCCCCAGCATGGGAAAAAAAAATTCTGGGAAAAAAAACTCCGGATCCCAGTGGTATCAGTAATGGATTTGGGCTGGGCTGTGGCTCAGCAGTAGTGCACTTGCCTGGCATGTGTGAGGCACTGGGTTTGGCTTTCAGCCCCACATATAAATAAATAAAATAAAGGTCTATAAACAACTAAAAAAYTTTAAAAGAAAATTTTAAAAAATGGATTCTACCAGACATTTAAAGAATGTCTGAAAAACAAAAAAGAGTTCAGAAAGAAGATAAAATAATACCAATTTTACATAAAACTCTTTCATAAAATAGAGGATAGAGGAACACTTCTCAACTCTCCCCCCCGCCCTTTTGAGGCCAGTATGATTCTAAAATCAAATTCTAACAGAGACATTACAGAAAAAGAAAACTGTAAACCTATATGCCTTATGAATATAAATACAAACATCTGYAACAATACAGTAGCAAATTGAGTCCTACAATAGAAAATAGAATTTATTTAGGACTACAAAGTTGGCTTACCATTTGAAAATCATTCAGAGTAATTCATCACATTAATAGAATAAAGGAAAAAATGTGATCATTTAAATATTACAGAAAGACATTTGACAAAATCCAACACTCATTTATGAAAAATTTCTCAACAAACTTCATATTTTTGAAGCAAACATCATATTTACTGTTGAATTATTGAATACTTTGCCCTATAGACCCAAGAACAAAGCAAATATGTCCATTTTCATTATTTCTATTTAACATTATACTTGAAGTCTTTCCCATTGTATTAAGACAAGAAAAAGAAATAAAAAGCATAAAGATTAGGTGAAATTGGGTGTGGACATTCAAACCTAGAATCCCAGTGGCTTGGGAAGCTAAGGCATGAGGATAACAGGTTCAAAGGCAGCCTCAGCATCTTAGTGAGGCCCTACTCAACCTAGCAAGAACCCAGTCAAAATAAAAAAAAAAAWTTTAAAAAGGCTGGATCAGTGGCTAAGCCCCTCTGTCCAAATAAATAAACAAACAAACAAGGTGAAAAACAGAGATGATTTTCAATGTAGACATCCCTAAGGAAGATACAGAATAACTACTAGAACTAATAAGTAGATTTAGCAATGTTTTGGGTTATAACATTATGAAAGTCACTTGATATTTTTATTTATCAACAGCAAACAATTGGAAAATCAAACTTGAATCCATTTGTAGTAGCCCTAAGAAACATAAAATATTAATGAATAAATTTAACAAAAGAAATTCAAGATCTCATCACTGAAAGTTATGGAGTCATTGCTGAGAGATAGTTTAAAAGGCCTACATAAATGAAAAGGTATAACATGCTCATGAATTGGAAAACTTGATATTGTTAAGGTGCTAATTCTTATTGATTGATTGACTGACTGATTTTGATTGATTTTCATCTAGAGATTGAACCCAGGGATACTTTACCACTGAGCCACATCCCCAGTCCTTTTTGTTTTTTTTTTTTTTTTTTGAGATAGGGTCTTGCTAAATTGCTTAGGGCCTCACTAAGTTGCTGAGGCTGGCCTCAAACTTAAGATCCTCCTGCCTCAACTTACAACTGCTACAATTACAGGCATGTACCACCATGCCTGGTTCCAATTCTCTTTTTCTTCTTCTTCTTCTTCTTTTTTTTTTTTTTTTTTGGTTGTAGATGATATTACAATTACACAATACCTTTATTTTATTTATTTCTATGTGATACTTAGGATTGAACCCATTTCTTCACATGTGCCAGGCACGAGCACTCTACCACTGAGCCACAAACCCAGCCCTCTAATTCTTTTTAAATTGACCTATAGATTCAATGCAATTCCAGTAGAAATCCCTTAGAGGCCAGGCGCAGTGGCACATGCCTGTAATTCCAAGGCTCAGGGGGTGGAGGCAGGAGAATTGCAAGTTCAAAGCCAGCCTCAGCAATTTAGCAAGGTGCTATTAGAGAAGGTAGAAGATTACTAATAAAATATAAAATAAGGCTAGGGATGTGGCTCAGTGGTCGAGTGCCCCTGAGTTCAATCCCTGGTATCCCCCCAACCAAAAAAAAAAATCCCTTAGAAATTTACAAGTTGATTTTAAAATTTTATGAGAATGCAAGTGACCTAGCAAAAGAAATGAAAAAAAAGGGGGTGGATTAAACTACCTGATTTGAAGACTTAGCATCAAGCTACAGTAATTAAGACAGGGTGGAACTAATGAAAGAATGAATATACAGTTTAAAGGAGCAGAGTAYAGCCTGGTACATTAGCACATGCCTGTAATTCCGGCTACTCTTAGATGGGTGAGGCAGGAGGATCACCAAGATCGAGGCACACACCTGGGCAACTTAGTGAAACTGTCTTGAAATTTAAAAAGAACAGGCCAGGGATGTAGCTTGTAGTAGAGTGCTTGCCTCGCATGTACAAGACCCTGGTTCAATCCCTAGTACTGAACAGTAGGCTATGATGCTAAAATAAAGAGTACTAAGGAAGCAAGAGATTTGGAAAATTTTTCAGAAAGTAGAACAGAATGACAAAGAGATTTAAAATAGAAAAAATAAAACAATTAGAAAATTCATCTAAGACATCCAATATCAAATAATAGAAGTATTAGGAAAAGGGAAAGAAAAATAGGAGAGGAAATCATTAGAAGTGTTTTCTTAAATTCTGAGAATTAAAATAAATGAGTTTTTAGGTTGAAAGGGTCAAGCTAGTCTTTTTGTTTTGAGATGGTATCAGAGAATGCCACAGACTGGGTTATTTATTTATTTATTGAACCCAGGGGACTCTACCACTGAGCTATATCCTCACCCCTTTTTATTTTTTATTTTGAGACAGGATCTCAATAAGTTGTCTAGGCTTACAGTTAACTTACAGTCTTCCTACCTCAGCCTCCCTAGTAGCTGGGATTGCAGGTGTGTGCCATCACAGCTGGTTATGTTTAGTTTTATAATAGTTGACAACTAGTTTAGTTTTATAATAGTTATGGGTTTTTCAGATTTTCTATTTTTTTCAAGTTTTGGTAACTTGTTTTCTAAATTGGTCATTTCATCTTTTCAAATTTGTTTCCATAAAATTTTTCTTATTTAATTATATCTATTCTTAGATATCAGGTAGGTTCAAGCTTTATAATAAAGAGGTCCAAAAAATTAAGTTATTTGTAATGTGACACTTTCTTTTGCTATAGTGATCAATCTCAGTCTGATAGATGACTCTGTACCCACAGGAACCAAGGTCCAGACTGATATGTTCACTTCTGTCTCCACATCATCTGGCTGGCATTCCTAGGTCCAAGAGGCCTTTTCTTTTCCCTACACTCCTCCTTTGAAATGTCTTTTCTAATTTTTTATTTAATTATTTATTTATGGGATGGATCTCTCTGTGTTGCCCAGTCTGGCCTGGAACTCGTGGGCTCAAGTGATTTACCTACCTCAGTCTCCCAAATAGCTGGGATTGCACCTGGCCTTTTTCAAGTTTTTTTAAATAGTAATTTTTTTCCTCTTTCTTTCTTTGTTTAGATTTATTTTCTGTCAAGGATATTACTCCCATTTGTGTGTGTGTGTGTGTGTGTGAGAGAGAGATAGAGAGAGAGAGAGAGAGAGAGAGAGAGAGAGAGAGAGANGAGAGAGAGAGAGAGAGAGAGAGAGAGAGAGAGAGAGAGAGAGAGAGAGAACGAACACCTAGGGGCACTCTACCACTGAGCCACATCCCCAGTCCTTTTTATGTTTTGAGACAAGGTCTTGCTAGGTTGCTGAGGCCAGCCTCAAATTTGTTATAGTCTCAGACTCCTGAATCGCTACCGTTACAGGCATATACCATTCTACCTGGCCCTATCCTATTTCTTGCAAATCTTTTTTTTTCACCAGTTTTAATATTTGCCTTTAAGCCTGTGTATCATATTTTTGGTCCTTTACTTTTTATTGTTGTTGCTGTTATTTTTTAAGCTATCTTTTCTTTTCTTTATTCAAATAGCTTATATTCCAATTTCTCTTATATGAACTTAATAGTCATTACAGCACATCACCTTTATAAAAATGTTTAGCTTTTCATTAGTATTCTTTGCTTTTTCTCATTTCCTCTCTCTGATGGATGAAAAACTTACACTCTTACAAGGAAATGTGTAGGAGATATTGTCATAGAGTGTAAGAAAGTTAAGGTAGTATTGACAATGATGGCTTTGCATAGGTGCTTCCTCTAGAGTTGATGTAGAGTTGTCTAAGTGCCCTTTCTTAGAGATGATGTAAATTGAACATTGTGGTTCAATAAAGAGAATCCTAGAAGAGTAATGGAGTTATTGATTAAAGAATAGATTAGCTGTAATGTTATTTTTTAAAATAATTTTTTAGTTGTTGATGGACCTTCATTTTATTCATTTATTTATATGTGGTGCTGAGAATTGAACTCAGGGCCTCACACATGCTAGGCAAGTGCTTTACCACTGAGCCACAACACCAGCCCTTGCCATGTTATTTTATATTTCTTTTTGAAGAAAATATTTTTGGTTAATTTGTTTAGGATTTCAGAATTAACTTAGATGTGTAATCATCTTAAAAGTCAATTTGTTAACTAGAAAGTGAGAAATAAATGATTTATTTCTACCATTGCTTTTGAAGGGAGAAATTCAGAAAATATATTTTTGGGGAAGTTAAAGGAAGACTGTATTCCTGCACCTCGCTCTGTTGGAAATATTAAAATCAACTTCACCCCTCGAGTATTCCCAACTGCACTCCGTGAATCAAAAGTAGCAGAAGAAGAGGAGGTAGATACACTTGCTTTTGTTACAGTGATACCAGTTAAAATGCTTTAATTTCATTCCATCTGTCAAAACTTGTATTAGTTCTGTATTTTTAAGTATTTATTATACTAAAGACTTCATGACTATATTCATGAATGTTTTCTTATGAGAAAGTATATTTTGAAGGTTTATTGTTGACTCCCAAATACTGATGAGAGAACACTGATTTAATAAGTATTGTTATTATTTATTCTAAGAGAGAAACTATTGTACTTATCATTTATTTTATCAGATGCATCATTTTCTTCTTTTTTTGGGGTGTGTGTGTGTGTGTGTGTGTGTGATGCTTGGGATCTAACTCATAGCTTTGTACACACTAGCAAGCTGAGCTATATCCCCAGCCCTCGGTAATATATCAGTGAACTTTGGAACAGTATGTATTTTAGAAAAAAAAAAAGATTTGAAAATTATCATTAAACTTTCTGAGCCCTGGACTTTAAGTATTGTATCTTTAATTACATAATTACTAAGAAGTGTATTGTTTTACTGTAAAGCAAGACTGATGCCTCTCTCAGATGAAAAGTTGTTGTACAGACTAGGCACAGTGGCACATGCCTACTATAATCCCAGCAGCTAGGGAGGCTGAGGCAGGAGGATCACAAGTTCAAAGTTGGCCTCAGCAACTTAGCAAAAATAAAAAACAAAAAGGGCTGGGGATATAGTTCAGTGGTAAAACACTTCTGGGTTCAATCCCCAGTACCAAAAAAACCAAAAACAAACAAACAAAACAAACAAACAAACAAACAAAAAAAAAACCCAAAAAACAAAAAAGAAAAACTGTGGAAAAACTGAAGATCTTAGCTACTTGCGAGGCCAGCCTGGGCAACTTAGTAAGATCCTGTCGAAGGGATGGAGGTGTAGTTCACTTTCCTAGCACATACGAGGCCCTCAGTTGAATCCCCAGTACTTGGGGTTGGGTTTGTATAARGACTGACAGTTTAAAATCATCATCAAATAGTGCATTTTCTGTTCAGGCTGCTATAATCAAAATATCACAAATTTAGTGGCTTAATCAACAAATATTTCTTTCTTACGGTTTTAAGATCAGGGTGGAAGGAAGCATGGCCAGATTTTTGTTGTGGATCCTCATCCTAGCTTGTACACAACTACCTACTTAATATACCTTCACATGATGGTGGGGAAGAAGAGCTTTTTGATCACTTTTTTTTTTTGTACTGCTGAAAATTGAACCCAAGGGTGCTCTGCCACTGAGCTATATCCTYAGCCTTTTTAAAATTTTGAGACAGGATCTTGCTAAATTCATTAAGGCTGGCCTTGAATTTACAATCCTCTTACCTCAGCATCCCAAGTACCTGGGATTACAGGCATGTGCCACCACTCTGGCTTTTCTCTTCCTATAAGGAGACTAAGCCCATGATGGGGTTCTACCTTCATGATTTTATCTAAACTTAATTACCTCTTAAAGGTCCCATCTCCAAATACTGTCACGCTGATGGTTGGGGCTACAACATATGAATTTGGGGTGAGACACAAGCATTCAATCTCTAAATCTAAATAATATTTCTATCCATTGAAAGAAGATGAAAAAATCTAAAGTTAACTATTAATTAAAAAATCAGATCTTTGTATATGATATGGTTTGATTAGAGTTTGTGCCCTGTGTTCAGTAGCTTTCTGTCACTGTGAAAAAATACCAAAGGAAACCAACTTATAAGAAGGAAAGATTTATTTTTAGATCACAGTTTTGGAGGTTTTAGTCCTTTGTTGATTGGCCCCGATTCTTTTGGTCCTATGGTAAGGCAGAACATGGAAGCACATGGCGGAGGAGACCTATTTACCTCATGTTGACTAGGAAGCACAGATAGAGTAAAGGGACTGAGATCCCAGTATCCCCTTGAAGGTCATACCCTCAATAACCTAACTTCCTTCCATTAGGCCCCACCTCCTAAAGGTTCTTCTTCCTCCCAATAGTACTGCAATCTTTTTGTTTATTTTTTTAAAAAAAATTTTAGGCGGCAGGTACCAGGAATTGAACCCAAGAGCACTTATCCACTGAGTCATAAGCCTGGCCCTTAAAAAAAATTTATATATATATATATATATATACATACATACATATATATGTATGTGTGTGTGTTTTAGTTGTAGATAGACATGGTATCTTTATTTAATTCATTTATTTTTATGTGGTGCTGAGGATCGAACCCATCAGCACAGATGGAACCCAGTGCCTCATACTCGCTAGGCAAGCACTCTATCACTGAGCCACAACCCCAGCCCTCCCCAGCCCTTTTTATTTTTTATTTTGAGACAGGTTCTCACTAAGTTGCTTAGGGCCTCACTAAGTTGTTGAGGCTGGCTCTGAACTTATGATCCTCCTGCCTCAGCCTCTTGAGTCTCTGGGATTACAAGCATATGCCACCACGCCTGTCTGTAACTAAGCCTTTTAAAACATGGCTTTGGGGGACATTTAAGATCCAAACTATAACATCCCCCAAAGGTTCATATGCTAGAAACTTGGTCCCAAAGTAAAGATATTGAGTGGTGTTAGATCTTTAAGTGGTGAGGCCTAGCAGAAGGTAACTGGATAATGAGTACACCATCCTTGGAAATGATTAGTGCTAGTCTTGAGTGGATTATTATAAATCAGAGATCCTGGGGCTTGGATTGTGGTTCAGCGGCAGAGCACTCGCCTAGCACGAGCGGGACCTGGGTTCGATCCTCAGCACCACATAAAAATAAAGCATTGTATTGTGTCCATCTACACCTAAAAAATAAATATTTTTAAAAAATAAATAATAAATCAGAGAGCCTGGCTGTTTCCTGTCTCCTGCTTCCTTATGTGATCCAACCCCCTACACACCCTGCTCTCTCTCTCTTACTCTCCCTCTCACCACACCCTTCACACTTGTGCCCACCACATGCCATTCGCCATGTTGTAATGTAGCCAGAAGGCTCTTACCAGAACCTGACCAGGTAGGGGTCATTCAGTCTTAGACTTAAAAGCCTCCAAAACTGTAAGCAAAATGAACCTCTTTTCTTTGTAAGTACCCAGACTCAGGTGTTTTGTAATAGCAACACAAAATAGACTAAGACAGTGTCCTTTCCAAGACTTCCTTTTCATTTCAGTGGCTACATAAACAAGCTGAGGCACGAAAAGCAATGAATACTGATATCCCTGAATTTTTCGACTTAAAAGAAGACGAAAAGAACCCAGAATGGTTAAAGGAGAAAGGAAAGTAAGTTGTTTAAAATCTGGCCATGCAATGTAAAATGTATGTAGGCATTGGTAATAATCACATTTTCTGGATATTTTGACCTCTGTGTTTATACTATTTGTTAGTGGGGAGAGATAACACAAATAAGCAAATAAGGTAGGCAGGGCCTCCATACTTAAGAAGTCAGATAATATGACAAATATGGGTCTTATTTATTTATTTTTGGTACTGGGGATTGGCCTCAGGGGCACTTGATCACTGAGCTACATCCACAGCCATATTTTGTATTTTATTTAGAGATAGCATCTCACTGAGTTGCTTAATGCTTTGCTTTTGCTGGGGCTGGCTTTGAACTCATGATCCTTTTATCTCAGCCTCCCGAGCCTCTGGGATTATAGGCATGCACCACCACTCCCTGCTATGGGGCTTATTTTTAAATATAAATGTCATATAAATGAAAATATTTCATCTTTTGGGATGTTTATTAACGTCCCTTTTAAAGCTGGGTGTAATGGTGCACACCTGTAATCTCAGCAGCTCAGCAGGCTGAGACTGGAGTATCACAAGTTCGAAGGCAGCCTCAGCAACTTATCAAGGCCCTCAGTAACTCAGTGAGACCTTGTCTTTAAGTAAAATACAAAAAAATGCTGGGGATGTGGCTCAGTGGTTGAGTGCCCCTGGATTCAATCCTCAATACCAAAAAAAAAAAAAAATTGATTAATTAATTAAATAAAATCCCTTTTAAAATCACTTTCACATTTAGCATAAGTCCTTCCTAATACCTTCCTTAAAAACAGTTTTTAATGGGGCTGGGGATGTGGCTCAAGCGGTAGCGCGCTCGCCTGGCATGCGTGCGACCCGGGTTCGATCCTCAGCACCACATACAAAGACGTTGTGTCTGCCAAAAAATAAATAAATAAATAAATTWAAAAAAAAAACAGTTATTTAAAATAATTATTTTTATTATATTCATTTCCATTTATTAAAAAGTACTTAATTGCCAGGTGCGGTGGTACATGACCTTAATCTCAGCTACTCAGGAGGCTGATGTCAAATTTGAGGTCAGCCTCTGCAACTTAGTGAGATTTGTCTCAAAATTCAAAGGGCTGGGAATGTAGCTTACTGGTAGAGTGTTCCTGGCTACTGTCCCCATACCACAAAAAAATCAAATTAAAAAAATTAAGTCCCAAATTATTTTTTAAATTGCATTTTATATCTAAACTGTCATTGTATTTTCTGTTTGGTTCTGTGCATGAGTATTTTAATACAGTTATTAAAAACAGTGAATTCTAGTGTATTCTGGGTAGCAATATGAGCTCATACTTTGAGGAAGTTGTGGATTTTTTTTTTTTTTTTTGGTACCTGGAATTGAACCCAGGGGCGCTTAACCACTTAGCCACATCCTTATCCCTTTTTGACTTTTTGTTTTTTATTTAGAGACACAGTCTCACTAAGTTGCTTAAGGCCTCACTTAGTTACTGAGGCTGTCTTTGTCTTATGGTTCTCCTGCCTTAGACTCCCAAGTTGCTGGGATTACAGGCATGTGTCACTATGTTCAGCTTTCTTTTTTTCTTTTGTAAAGTCCATTAGACAACATTAGTTCCTTCCACCTGCATAATTTAGGAAACTATCTCAAGACCTTTAACTTAATCACACCTGCAGGGTCCTTTTTATCATATTAAATAACATATTAATGAAATCTTGGAATTAGGATTTTAGGATGTAGACATCTTTTGGGGGAACATAACATCTCTATTTTTCTTTTCTCATATTTTCTCTTGGTCTTTTCTTCTGTTACAACACCAGGGGGTGGTTTGTTGCATTTAGGTGGATTTGGCAATTTTTCTGAAGGTTAGAAGCTTGAGGTATGATAGGTTGGTTCTTCTTATTCTGAACAGTAAAATTAATGTGATCTTTCCTCTTCTATCTCTTCTTCCTTTTTTCCTTCCTCTCCATTTATTCAACCATTAAATCAACATCTATTGGTTACCAGTGACTTGCCAGACTATAGCATGGAACTGCACTAAGAGAGCAGGGTAGAGACACACAAATACTTTAATATTGAATGGGAAGTACAGTAAGTTAGATGAGGAAAGGAATATGAAATTATGGAAAATGGGCACCTAACCATAAAGGTAAGCTGAGAAAAAGCTTTATACAGAAAATAGTACTTGAGTTCCTTTTAATGATAACTAAGTTTTAGGACGAATATAGAGAAAAGCATTTGTTTTAGGCAGAGGTGACAGAATGAACAAGAACACAGAAACAAGAAATAGTATGATGAAACTACAGGAAATTTATTCTTTGCTGAAACATAAAATTTGACACTATGGAGATTGACGAATGAGCCTAGACGAATGCTATAGAGGCTTGTAAGATTTTTCTTCTTTTTTTTAATGTTGTAGTTGAAGGCCTTTATTTCTTTTTATATTTTTTATTCTTATTTGTTATATATGACAGCAGAATGCATTACAATTCATATTACACATATAGAACACAATTTTTCATCTTGTAAGATTCTTACATGTTGGACCATAAGGTGGAGAAAAACTTTTTTTGTTGCAAAAACCCAGACAAAGCCTTTGAATTATGCCTCTATTATAGAGAAAGGGTGATTGAGAAATATTTATGGAGTAAAATGGTCAGAAATTATTATTATTTTCAGTGTTGGGAATTGAACCCAGGGCCTTGAGCATGCTAGGTAAGCTCTCTACCATTGAGTTATACAGCAGCTCAGAAATTCTTGACTGATTGTTGGGAGTGAGAAAGAAAAAGTACTCGGGTGATTTCCACATTTTTAGCTTGAGTGTTTGTGGGATGCCACCAAATGAATTTTAGAATACTTAGAAGAAGAACTAGTTAGAAGGGAATGCTAGTAATTTTGATTTTGAATAAGTTGAATTTGAGATTGTCTCTGAAGCAGTGACAGTGTGCAACAAGTATGAAACTCAGGGAAGAGGCCAGCGCTATGGATATATTATATTTGTGGGTTATCAGCGTTTTAAATAGTAGGTAAATTTATAAGAGTAGGTAAGATGGGCTGCGAATATAGCTCAGTGGTAGAGTGTGTGTTTAGCATGTACAAGGGCCTGGGTTCAATCCTCAGCACTGAAATAAACAAAAAACAAAAAACAATTTAAAAAAAAAAAAAGTTAGTGGTACATACTTGTGATACTTGGAGACTGAAACAGAAGTTCACAAGTTTGATAGCAGCCTCTGCAACTTAGTGAGACTCTGTCTCAAAATAAAAAGTAAAAAGGGCTGGGGATGAAGCTCAGTCCCTAAATTCAATACTAGAGAGTACTACTGAAAAACAAAAAGTCTCCCAAAACAGTGTATAGACTTACAGTAGTGGGCTGAGGATAGCACCTAGTAACATTTAAAGGACCCACAAAATGCTGCTAGAAATAAATGAAGTGGAAACTCCTAAGGAAAGGTTTTGTTTGTTTGTTTTGTTCTTCTTTAGATTAGAAAGGTTTGAATAAATTCAGAGGCAGGAGAAATAAAAGGTCATTGAAATGTCTCTAAAAGTGGAGAAATTTAGGTCAAGGCTAAGGTTGGAGGGATTGTCTGATTTTGTTCAGTTTTCTCTTTTTCAAAGTTGCATTAACTTTATAGTACAAAAAAAATCTTTAAAAAAAATTTGCACAAGTCCCCTTTCTCCCCGCATCTCATTCCCTGTAATCCCAGGGATTGAACCCAGAGTCTTAGCACATATAAGCAAGCATTCTACCACTGAGTTCATGCCCAGCCCTCTAGTATATATTAAATGTATTACATGGAAGTCTCCTTTGAGTTTTCACCTAGTTTGTGGTCTTCCTGCCTACCTTGTCCCTAGCTGTAACCAATCTTGAAAACAGTTTTTTAATTGTATTCTCTTATCTTTAAGCTGCCATTGTCATAATCACAGTATGGTAACAGCTTGTGATAGTTTCCAAAAGTTTTGACATATTGAGAGTTCCTTAAATTCTCATGTCAGGACCAGGGCTTGGTGGCACATGCCTTTATTCTCAGTTACTTGGGAGGCTGAAGCAGAAGGATTACTTGAACACAGAAGTTTGAGGCCTGTCCAAGCAATTTAGTAAGACCCTATCTCAGAAACAAAACAAACCCATGCACGCCTGTAATCCCAGCTTCTCAAGAGGCTGAAGCAGGAAGATCACAAGTTGGAGGCCATTTAGGGTAATTTAGCAAGCCCCTATCTCCAAACAAAAAAATAGAAGGGCTAGGGATGTATCTTAGTGGTAGAAACATCCCTGGGTTCAATACCATAGTACTAGATGGGAAAATCCTCATAATTATAGTTGGGTAGGACTAACTGTTTTTGCACTTATTTAACATGTGTATAGAAAAACTAGTAGCTTTGGGGCTGAGGATGTATCTCAGTGGTAGAGCACTTCCCTGACATGTGCAAGGCCCTGGGTTTAATCCCCAATACCAGAAAAAGGAAAAGAAAAATAAAGAGAACTAGCAGCATTGCACAAATTATTTCACTTAATTCCTATAATAACTTGACCAGTTGGATATTATTTACTCATTTTATAAGGTGGAAACAGGAACAGGGAGTTTGAGAGTCTTGGCTAAAATGATATATAGAATTTGGGATTTGATTCTAGGCAATATGAAGCTTGTGTTCTCACCCAGTGCTATAGATTTTTCACACATGAAAAAAAATATACTTCCATGTAAAAATTAATAAATAAATAATTGTTTTTTGAAAATACATTTCCAGTCCTTTTGTTTCATTTACTTAGCCCTAATAAAGGCAGCCCCTATGTTTGGGGTATGAATTGGTCCTCCTTGCTTCCTGAGAGTGCAGTACTAAGTGTATATAGCTGAGTATTGTGTTCTATTGGATTGCTTACTTTGTTCTAGAAAATGCTGGCAAATTAACTTGGGATGGACAGAAACATTTCATTTTCTGAGATTGGAAGAAAGAACGTAAAGACAAGTGTGGCTCTAGATAGATTTGTTACTAGAGATACTGATTAGCGGGTTCTGTTGAAAGCCCTACTAGATTA